CCACCCCTGGGCAGGTGGGCCTGTGTTGCATAAGAAAGCAGGCTGAGCAGGGGCCAGGGGAACAAGCCAGTAAGCAACATTCCTCCATGGCCTGTGCTCCAGCTTCTGCCTCCAAGTTCCTGCCCTGAGTTCCTACCTTGGGCTCCCTGATGAACTGCATGCGACCTGGGAGATGTAAGACAAATAAACCCTTTCCTCCCCAAGTTGGTACTGGTCAGAGTGTTTTGTCACAGCAATGAAGAACAAACTAAGACATGCCCAATGTAATACAATTTATTTCACATATTCTGCCCATTTTTTTAGACAGGTGGAAAGTAGATAAATAGGGTCTCTAGTTTTCTGACTAGTATAATTATTTTCTCTTTGTTTTCAAATGGGTCACAGGCTTCTGGATCTAATAAAATCTGAGTCTGCTACTGAACTTACACACAGCAGTTCTTTTGCCTTCCATAATTGCTGAAAGATTAGAGCCTTGTCTATAAATAAGTTTAATATTTTAAAAATAATATTTAAGCTTTAGGTTCAGAACAAGCAGTCATCATGCTCAGCCATCTTAAAGAATACCTCTAATGTGTCTTGAAGGACCAGGAGAGGGTCCACACATAATGAAACTTGCACTTTAAAACTACAGGTCCAAATGTTACAGACGTTCACCGCAGTGATAAACTAAGAACACCTAGTTTACAGTAGAGCAAGTATTCCTCTTCAGGAAGTAAAGATAGCAGTAATGGTGTAGCATTCCCTCTTTCCTTAAGGTTATCCTGAGAGATTCAGTCTCGAGAATCATGTTCATCAAAATGACATATAAAAGATTCAGATGAAGCCTTCATGCACTAATTTTGAATAACAACAGCAAACATTCCTTTAGCACTCATATAATAGTTAACTGTGCTACGTGTTTAAATGCTTTTTCTCAATGAAACATCCATAACTTCCTATGGAATATGGTCCATTATTAACCTTATTGCACTCTATAGAAAATAGACTACTGACACTAGGAAATGGTGGTAAAGAGATTCAAGCCTAGAGTGACAGTGAGATTCCATTCTTTAAAATAATGTATTGGGTAATCTTCCAGGTGTTAGGAATATTGTTCTTGTGTGTTTGTGTGTGTGTGTGTACTGAGGATGGGGGGAGATCTCTAACTCAAGGAGTTTATACACTAAATCATATTCTTTTTATAACATTAAAAATGTAGTTTGTGGGTTGGGGATGTAGCTTGGTGGTACAGTACTTATTTAGGATATGTGGTGTGATGCCCTGGGTTCAACCCTTAGCACTGCAAACAACAAAAAGCAGAAAAGCAATTTATAATTTTTTTCTATTCCCGATTTATGTTAAAAGTAAAATAGGAAATATGAGAACTTATGTTATTTAAGAAAAATGTATTAATTTCTAGTAAGGAAAATGCCTGGTGTTGCATTTTGTGTTAATATCCTTAACACAAACTCCTGGCATCTTTTGAGTAAGATAGCTTAATGTTTCAGATCATGACCCTGTTTCACTGAATTGACAGTATTACACGTACATGACCCTTAAAGAGAAGGTTAATGACTTTACTTGATGACTAGTACTGCACCAGGCTAAGTGTCAATTGATGCTTATTCTTATAAATTAAAAAAAACTGTTTTTGATTTATTTATTTTTGTGTATATGAGTGTTTTGCCTGCATGTATGCAAGTGCACCACGTATCATACAATGCCCTCAGAGGCCAGAATAGGACATAAGAACTGGTATTAACAGAAAATTGTTAGCTGCCACATGGGTGGTGGGAATCAAACATGGGTTAGAGCAGCCAGTGCTCTTAACTACTGAGCCATCTCTCCAGGCCCTCTCATAACCTAAACAAAAAGTAGAGGAAACAATCTATGTACATTTAGGTAGTTTTATCTATTCAAGTACAAATTTAACGAAATTTTAACTGACTACAATGCCCTTGACTTTGGCCCCTTTCCAGCATTCCGTAAGATGGATTAAAAAAATCTTGTTTGATATAAACAAAATATGAACTCCAAGCATTCTGGCTACCCGATAATCTTTACAGAGTTTCTTAGTGGAAATGATTTTACTATAGTATAGCTTCAGAGCCTGGCTATTTAGACAATAAACACAGAACTGAACAAAGAAATAAGGGTAACTATGTTAATGGCCACATTAATGCTGGTTGACTAAATGCTCAAAAGTTTTCACAGAACATATATTTAGTTCTGAAGAGAAATAATTTATTAGTTGGTAAACAGGAAATATATCTTTATTATTTTAGGAGTATAAAGCTGGTGCTTTCATTTTTAAGGATACAGGTAAAATATTCAAGTCTGCAAACAAAACCACATACCTCTACAGCAGGGACGATGTCTATGCCAACAGTTAGAAATTCATCAAACTTCAAAAATGGGTTAAAGCAGCTGCCAACATCAAGTAATCTGATCTTTCCTGAGGCTTGAAGCAACCTAAAAACAGATATTGAACATTATAAAAAGCAAACTGAAGCTAATATGAAAAAATTTAAGTATTTGAGAGTAAAGATGAGAGTGCTGACTGTGAGCTCTTACGTCTGGTTTCAGGGTAAGGGCGTCAACTTCCATATCTGTATGTACCATGTTAATATAGAAAGGCTTAAATTTTTTACTTTATTTACAAAATGATTGCTGTATATTACCACACATCACATTTTTAAATGAAAACACTAGTTTTGAAAGGCTATCAAGGGGCTGGAGAGATGGGTCAGTGGTTAAGAACACTGGTTGTTCTTGCAGAAGAGCCGGGTTCAAATCCCAGCACCCACATGGCAGTTAACACTGTCTGTAACTCCAGTTCCAGGGGATTCGATGGTCTCTTCTGTCCTCCGCTGGCACTGATTGGCACGGGTGCATTTACCAACATGCAGCCAACACACGCATACACATAAAATAAAAATGACAAATAAAATATTTTTTTAAAAAAGAAAATGGCTATCAAAAGTGTGAATTGTTTTTAATTCTCCAGTGGCTGCTTTTACATTAAGCTTCTGCAGTCTCCCATGGCATCAGCCTCTGGAAAACTCTACTCTTATGAAAGATGGCTGGAGGAGGGAAAATCACAACTTATTATTGTGAAAATAATTTTTTTTCCAGAGCAGAGACTCTGAAAGGGTTTTAGATCCATGTATTTGTCAACGACTTAAAAAGGAAAGCAGCATGAATAGAATAGAATTGTTAGGAAATTTTCTTATTGTATGCAAATGCTTCTCATTTCCAAAAGAATAGAACAATAGGTAACAAATTTAATAATAATGAAACACAATCTAAAAGTGACTTTTCTTAGAGAGGAAATGCAATAAATAAGATATACACATTCGACCAAGGGCTTGATGTGTTAACCTTTTAAAACAAACAATCATTCATTTGAGTACAAAATCATCTATAAAAGACCTTCCTAATATAGTACACAAGACTGTATGTATCCCCAAGTAATATTAATCAATTAAAAAAAGAATTTTTGCCAACAAAATGAAATATTACTTAAGAATTTATTTGAACAAGGGTTATGGGAATGTAAGAAAACAGCAATTTCTGCAAAGTGGTCACTGTTTTGTTTTCTTTTTCCTCTGTTTATAAAGTAACTCATTCTGACCTGGACATGCAGATGAATGTCAGTCTACGGGCAGAAAAGTTAAGAACTCTCAGTGACAAGAAGTACTGTTTTGAAACTCGAGAGGTGACTTTCTGTACTGTAGTCAATCTAGAGGACGATTTATATGTAACTTGGCCTTTATATGCAATAGGAAGTAATTATGCCTCAAGTTGGACTATATTTGGTGATTTTTGAAATATGACAATGCACTAGTTGGAGAAAGACAAGAGTCATCAAAATTTTGTGGCATGTGTTACAAACTGCTCAATAAAAGCAAACAGTTCATCTAACATGCTAGGAATGCCTAGCATATACTTGGGATTTCTGCTGAGTTTGTGCAAAACTGAATATCCATATTACAGCAGTTAAAACAATATTCATATTACACAGTTAAAACAAGTGAGAATCTGTAATATATGGAATAGTGTGCATGCTACGCAATTCATCATTCTAATCCTTACATGAGGCTACAGTTAAGAATATGAGTTCTAGAATTAAAAAACATGATATCAAAAACCAATTGTGTCTCTTGATATGTAATATGGGGATAAGAATAGCACCAGAATAAAATTCTTGATCCTATGCCTGGTACATGGAAAGTACTCAAAAGTGGCAGACTTCATAGCAAGTCATTATCACCATGCTACAGATGAAATCTTTTATGGTTTTCTCACTAAATAATCTTCCAGTGTGTAATAAAAACAGCATTTAGCTCACACTAAATCCTATTCCACATATTTTAGTAAACTGAGGAGTATTCCTGGTTGTCTTAAAAAAAAAAAAAAGGAGAGTCTTAACTTTCTAGCTGAGTGCAATATTCTAAATCAGGTTAATTCAGAATTCCTGTACAGTCATTAGTAATGACAAGAGCACAGATCAGCTTAAAAACTCATATTCTCAGTAATTTACTTTGTATATTTCATTTAAAAATTTATCTCCATGATCTGTGTGAAGTACAGATGTACAGTTTAAAGAACAGTACATACTGAGCATCCCTGTAATTACCACCTAGATAGGTAATGAAACACGTCTGTGCCCTAGAGGCCTGAATATCACTGAAGCTATCACATAGCCTTTTACACAATGGCAAGCCACTTGCCCTGACTTTAGGGATAATCATTTATCTGACTTCCTTTTGCAGTCTTAAGCGTCTATGACAGAATGCCCAAATAACCCAGTGTACACGTTTTCTTCTGTGACTTGCTCCCTTCATTTCATATTGTTTGAGAGATGTCTGCTTCTAGAATTCACTTATGTTGATATACAGCAGTATCTTTCTACAACACCTCCTACTAGTATGGTACATCTAAAGATAATTTGGGGAGAATGTGCATGTCTATCATACTGAGTCTTTAGATTCATGGACAAAAGATAGTTCTCCATTAGTCTTTTGTCTCCAAATAGTTTTTACTATTTTTTTCAAAACAGGTTTCATATACCTTTTGTTGGATTTAGAGTCACTGGTATCTCATAGTTATGCAGGGTATTATAGCAATATTATGAATACACTTTACTGCTTTTCTTTTTTATTTGACACTGGTTATATAAACACAACTAATTTCTATATAGTCATTTTTTATATTCAGAAATTTTGTAAGTTCTGTTATACCAACTGTGTATTATTTTCAGTAATCTAAACATAAGTACATAGATAGAGTATGTGTGGGGAAAAAAAAAGGTGATCTCATTTCTTCCTAGCAACCATTTAATTGTTATTATTGCTATTATTAGTACCAATTGCCTGACTTCTCTGTTTAAGACCTCTACTGAAATGATGACTAGAAGTGAGCAAGTACCACTGCTATGCCAATGTCAGAGGAATGTTCCAGGTTTTCAGCATTACATTTAAGAACTGCAATACACTTTATACACAGTACTGCTCTTGATAAAGTTAAAGAAGTCCCTTCTATGCTTAGCTAGGGTCTCTGTTCTCTTATTTGTTTTGACACAAATCAATGTTACATTTTATCAACTCCATTCCCTGTTTCTACTGAGATAAGGTTTTGTTCATCTGTTTAAGTGATAAGAATGTATTCCTTAACTATACATTGTTTTAAAAATGGCACTGTAACCAGGTATGTTGGCCCAGGCCTTTAATCCCGGCACTGAGGAGACAAAGGCAGGTAGATCTCTGTGAAATCAAGGCCAGCCTGGTCTACATAACAAGTTCCAGGCCAGCTGGGGCTCCCAGGAGACCCTGTCTTAATCAAAACAAAACAAAAACTCAAAACAAAACAAAATAGGATTAGTAGTATAAGCCACTAATCCAAACACATGGTCTATGTATATCAGTAGGCACATACAATTACCCCATTGGAAAAAGCCCTTTTACTTGCAGGTTAAAAGATACTTAGGATCTCAAGATCAAGCTTTGTGATCTCAAAAAGCTTGCTTTATCTAGCAAGAGCAAATCATTTGATAAGAAATACTCAACTAGTACAACAGCATGAGCTGAACTACTCTACTCATTCCCGACTGTAGTTGAAGGGTGTGGAAATTCCAGTATCTTGGCATCTGACCACATTCTAGGCTACTTTTCCCGTACAGAATACAAAACAATACAAACAGTAACAAAAAACAAATGAAAGAACACAAAACTTTGCCAGACCACAAGTTTTAATACCTGAAGTAGAAAACATTACCATAAATATGAGATCTGTTAAACTCTGAAAACAGAAATAAAAGTGCGTTTTGAGAGTCAACAAAAACAGAATTTTTTTTTTTTTTTTTTTGGTCTTTTTGAGACAGGGTCTCCCTGTAGCCCCAGCTGTCCTGGATTCACTATGGAAACCAGGCTGGCCTCGAACTCAGAGATCCGATCCGCCTGCCTCTGCCTCCTGAGTGCTGGGATTAAAGGCGTGCGCCACCATGCCCAGCCAAAAACAGAATTATATATTAAATAACTACAAACATAGAATGTTTAAGATGTCTCAGTTTAGAAATGACCTTCACCTAAAATTTATTGAAAAAGTACTTCACTTCTTTAACAAAGAATATTTAACAAACCTTTAGGATCACTCCAAAAAGCAGGCTTAAAATAAACTAAGTGGACATGGAAGTACATGTCTATAATCATAGCACCCAGAAGACAGAGAAGGAGGATAGTTGAGATCTAGGCCAGCCTGGACTATAGCCATCAATCAATTAATCAAAGCAAGCATACGTAAAACCCAATTCTTACACACACACAGACGCACAGACAACCACAGACATACAGAGAAAGAGAGACAGAGAGACAGAGACATAATCTGACACTTACATAAGACCTAATATGCCTGTTAGTTTTGTTTAAGATCTTGAAATACTAAGCTTAAGAAAGAACTGACACTCAAGCTTTTTAGTCCAGTGTAGACACATAGGCAAACAATGCAATGTTGTGGTAGGTAGAGTTGTGTATAAAATGTAAGGAGAGTAGAAGACAGGTGGATGAGATAGGAACCCACCCTGAGGCTACAAGATAAACAAGCTTTCCCAGGAGGAAATGGAGAGAAGGGAGTGAAGAATAAAATATAATATGGCTGAGGTGGATATCCTGTGATTTTAGCCAGAAAGCATAGTGCAAAGGTATTTCCAGAGAATCTCTGAAATCCAAAATGTTCAGTCATTGATTACACTATACTGTTAGTTTCTCTTTTTAAAAAATATTATTTTTATTTTATGTATATAAGTGCACCCATGTTGTGTAGTGCCTACAGAGGTAAGAAGAGGGCATAGGATCCCCTGGAACTAGAGTTATGGATGGTTGTTAGCTGCCATGTGGGACCTGGGAACAGAACCTGGGTCCTCTGCAAGAGCAGGTATGCTCTCACCTGCTGAGCCAACTCTCTAGTCCCTCCCC